GCATATAATATTCACTGGTCTTTTTGTGGTTATTATATGTCTGTATTGTATTTTAAGCATGACTGTTCTGGCTGGATGCAAAGCAGTGAGTGCAAAGACATGGATTATCTAGATTTTTTTTCTTTATTTTTTGGCATTTTAGAGATACTCTTTGGACAGGTCTGACCCCAAGGCTGCCAGAGCTTGAGGAGTGTTTGGACAATGCCCTGAGGACATGGTGGGATTGCTGGGGTGTCCTGGGCAGGGCCAGGAGTTGGACTGGATGGTCCTTGTGGATCATCAACTCAGGTATTCTGTGATTCTATGCTATCAAAGAAATACAATAGTCCAAGTCCAAAATCCTGTGAACTGGCTGTTTGGAGTGGTTTTTGGGGAAGGAGGTGAAATGTGACTTGTGCACATGAACCAGGGGCTCTGTCCTGATGGATTTACTGTCTGTGCTGGGAGAGAGGGAGCTCCAGGTTCTAGTGTCATGGTTGACCAGGCCTTACTTGTGCCTCGAGCTCAGCTAAGCTGGGCTTGTGGCACTGAAGGATGTGAGAGTCCCAAACTTTTCCTCTCACTCGGAGAAAGGCAGCGTAACTAAAGCTTCCCAACCTCTAATTCATGGTCATTGATTCCCCACAAATAATTAGCAAAGGTGCAGAAGGCTGTTCACTTATTCCCTGATCCAAGGCTAATGGAAGTGAGGACACACTCCCTTCAGTAAGTTGGGGTCAAGCCATCAGGATCAGAGCATGGATTTAGCACCCGGAGCCATGGATCTTCTCCCCGCACAACTGGATTTTGTAAGTACAGCTATTCCTCTCTCTCTTTATGGTTCACTCTGCTGTTTGTAGTCCAGCTGTGTAAGCTCCCTCATCCCCGTTTTCTGAGGTACTTCAAAAAGGGATAGATTATTCCTGCACTGTTTTGTTGCATCAGTTTTATTCCTCTGACTAGTGAGTTTGCTTTCATCTGCCTCTTGTAACAAACTCACTGCAGGGCTGAAATCTCTCCCTCATGTCCCTGCACTAAAACCTTCCCTGAAGCCCATCTTCAGACAGTGAGCCAAAAAAGTCAATTAATTGTTTATTTTTTTCAGAAAAAAAGTTCAGTTTCATTGTCCAGCTCCTGGAAACTCAAGTACATCCTGTTCCTGAGGATGCTGGGCTTGCAAAGGGCAGCAGAGAGGCATCTTGCACTCTCCTGTTCGTGTGGACACACTGGAGGTGAGCAAAAGGTGGGAATATAAGGGCAGTTTGCAGTGCAGAGCTGATCCAAGGAGTCTCCTAGTTCCTTCCCAAGTTTTCATTTTTTAATGGCTCAGCATCAACATTTCAGGAAGGTTGTACTAATGAACCAGCACAGAGTTACAGAGTATCCTGAAAATTATAGATAAATGTCACTGTTGACCCTGTGTAAGGATTTGTCACCCCCACTCTACCAAACTGAACTGGATATCCCCCCAAAAAGGCTTTTTCTGGGCTATTAATCTTTCCTAACAGGTGAAAGGTTTTGAACTGCCTTTTGCAGCCTTGGCTCAGTGCCTGTCCAGAGCCTGGAAGAGCAAAGCCAGACCTGGAGTTCTGGGAATTCCTGAACTGAGCCTCACTGCTGGGAAGGCAGAGAGGATCTGAGGCCCTGCTCATGACCATGATTCATCCAGAATCCCTTAAAATTGGTTCTAAAAACGTGTGTGTACATAGTGGGGCAGGGCTGAAAGGCTGAGGAGCATCTGGGGGGGCTCAGCCTGGAGAAAAGGAGGCTCAGGGGGACCTGCTTTCTCTCTCCAACTGTCTGACAGGAGAGTGGAACCAAGGGGGTCGGGCTCTGCTCCCAGGGAAAAAGGGACAGGATGAGAGGAAATGGCCTCAAGCTGTGCCAGGGCAGGTTTAGATTGGATATCAGGAAGAATTTCTTCAATGAAAGGGTGGTCAGGCACTGGAAGGGGCTGACAAGGAGGCAGTGGTGGAGTCCCCATCCTGGAGGTGTTCAAAAAATGTGTGGATGTGGCACCTGGGGACGTGGGTTAGTGGGAAGGTGGTGCTGGGTCAATGGTTGGACTTGACAGCCTCGGTGGCCATTTCCAACCTTAACAGCTCTGATTCTGTATTGGTTCAAAAGAAAAGTGTAGATCGAGTCACAATGTGTCCCCAAGCACAGGACAATCCTTTTCCAGCTCTGCTGGTCCTGGGAAGGACCGATGCTCCCTTTCAAACCTGAGACCTCTCTGGGCTGAGCTAATCTCCACGGGGAACTCACTGCCCTGGGAAGATAATGTGGCTCAGGCATAAACCAGCTGCCTCCTCACCTGCCTGGGCATCACCTGCCTTCCCGGAGCTCAGAAGTGCTCAGTCTGCATGGAGACACTTCCCTGGCAGGCACAGCCCTGCTCTCAGGAGCAGGCCTGGCAGTGCGAGTGTCTCCGCTGTCTCCTCGGATCAGGAGCTGATGAAGCAGAGCAGAGAGGAAAGCTGAGCTTGCTCACACCTGCTTTTGGGGCTGAAGCTTCCCGGGATGGACGTGAGCCCTGTATATGTTACATCCCTGTCCCATACAGCCTGTGACGAGCCCACACATGCCCACCACAGGGGCTGTGTCTGCCTGGCAGGGGAAGAGGTGGTTGATACCAACAGGGAAAAGCCCCTTTGCCATAATCTCACACCTCCCTGGTTGCCCTAACAAAGCCAGTGCTCAGGGGAGCACAAATCCACCCTTTCCTGGGATTGCTTGCTTTCCTCAGTTCCTTCTTTGTTTTTCGTTCCTGAGCTGTAACACAGGCAAGAAAGGAGCTCACACTGGGATCCCTGGAGGCAGGCAAGCTATTGTCCTAAAAACAAAGCAACTTTTCCTCATGTGTACCAGCAACAATGTGAAGTGCCCCAGAGCCTTTACTTCATCCTGGACCAGGCTTCCTGATGTTTTCCAGGACGCTTGTCTGGTCCGGTTTAGCCACAAATGACAAACTACATATTCCCTCTCACCAATCCTCAAAAAAAAAGCTGGGCTGCTGCAGGTCTTGGGGCTCAGGAGCAGGATGGAGCAGGAAAGCAGGGCTGGAGCAGCAGGTTTCTGCTCAACAGGTAAGAAATGATCACACTTGGAGCACAGAGTGATGTGTGAATGGGGTGGAGGGAGATCTCTGCTCACAGACTGCACAATTTAGGAGCATAAACACCAGATGGGTTATGGAGAACTCTTGCAGGACTACCCCCCCTAACTTCACCAGCATCTTTAGAAGTTACTGTATTTCATTCTGGGAGAGAAGGGCAGAAGGGAAGGAATGTCTGAAGTCAGCAAACAGGCTAAAGCCCCAGCAGAACGGTTTTCCACACAGTGTCACCGATCCCAACTCTACCTCTGCAGTAGATACCGATCCCTCCGGAGCTCAGAGTGGTCCAAGAGGGTACATAGAGATGCCCAGGTGCAACATTCAGGAGTCTCATCCACACTGCGCTGCCATGGAGACCAGAAAATGCTGCTGGAAGCCTCCTGGGATGGTCCAGCATCAGAACTGGAAATGGATACAGAGCCTGCCAGTGCCTGCTCACGTTTTCCCAACAATCCCAAACTGAAGAGAGCTTTTTTTCCTTTTCCCTAGGAGGTACTGGCATTCCTCCAAGCACAGGGGGACCAGATGGAGCAGTAACACAGCTAAAATTGTAGGGGGAGGGAGGGGGGAAGGGGAGTATCTGTTAAGGAGCCGGCTTGAAAATAGGATCATGGAAAGCAGCTGTTACTTCAAGAAAGGGTTTTGTTGCTGATTCTAGAAAAAGACAGAACAGGGACTGATGTGAAAAATCAGCCCTGAAGACCAGATGTGTTTAGGCTGTATTTTGGAAGGTCAGCAGGTCAAATGCAGATACTGAGGACTGTATGGAGAGGGTCTGTCTGCTGGACAGCACAACTCACTGGCTTTCTCACAGGTGGTCCTTTGGGCTGGTTTTGGGGGGCTCAGAGAGGCAGCACCTTCACCTCTGAAACCTTCAGCACTCAGGATCACAAATTCCTCCCGACACATCTTCCAACATGTTCCCGGAGCTGACTCTCCTTCCTATCAGTTCCCTGTGATGCAGATAGGAGAAGACACATCATTAGGTAACCATTTATATAAGCGGCCTGATGTTTGTGTGGTGTTGGAGCTTCACAGCCCTCAAAGCCCTGATGGCATCTTTGACCCAGGGCCATCGACTCACTCCCATCCTGGTCGAACAGCCAACGGGGATATTGCCTTGCCCAGTCCATATCCTTGTCCCACTGGGATGAGTAGGAGCTCTGCCTCACATTTTCCAGTCAGGACTCTGTGGATCGCTGTGGAGATGGAGGCCAGTGTGACAGGCATCAGGCAAACAACATAAGACAGTCTGTGTCCTGGGGGACTCGGTCTAAACTGGTAGAGCTGGCTCTGAAAGGCATCCCGGGCACAGAACTCCCATTAACACCATCAAGTGGTGCTGCTGTTCAGTGCTTTGAAAACTGATCTCACACTTAGGTCTCACACTTAGGAATGGCTTTGAGAGGGGGGAGGTTAAAAATCAGGGAGAGCAGCATTAGGGTGTGCAAAGAGGCATCGCAGCTCTCTGAGGACAGGAAGCCTGGTGGCCTGGTTATACCACTATATTTTGGATTAGTGCCTCAGCTGCTGTTGCAGGAGCACACTAGAAATTATTTCCCTTTCTCTAATGCCCTGTTGTGTTTTATGCAGGATTTTCTGCGTGGATATGAGGAACACGAGGGGACCCCCAAGCCACAATGCCAGGACGGACTTGGGCTTAGGGCAGACCTGGAGGACATGGTTTTCCCCTTTGGGTGACCATAACAGATCACACATAGGGTGAGCAGAGCTCTAACTCACCACACAACACGTTCCTTACATAATTGTGCTGCGCTGGCCACTGGCACAGAAGCCTGGATTTATGTTCTGGCAAATGTCTAAAACAGCGAGTGTGGGAATTTGGTCTCCTTGGTGATGAAACCAACCAATGGAAAACACAGGAAAAAAAGAGAAGCTAAAACCATCCATGGACCTTGCTTTTATTTTCAGAGTGGAGGATATTTCAGAGTGAATTAGCCTGTCTTTTATCTGCTTTTGTACCTGTGGCTGGATAGCAGAGGACGGCTTAATTGTTCCGTTGTTCGTGATGGACAAGTATCCCTAAAGAAAGAGGACTCCAGTTTGCCATAGACAAAGAGGATCTAGAAATCGAGATAATCCAGCTCTTAGTCACCTGATTTTGTCTGACAAATGCAGCCAGTGTTGGAGGGAAGCACTCAATGCCCTCAGAGGAACCAGTTCCTTGCAAAGTTAACTGGTTTCATCAGAGATCGCACTGTGAGTTGACATTCCTGGGTAAACCCTTGGGGAATTCCAGAGTGGATGGCAGGCTGGGTGCAAGGACTGACCCCCAGCTGGGGCTTGGAAAGTTGGCATCCTCTGGAGCAGCTCCTTGTAGCTCCCTGAGGTCTGCCCACCATCACAAGGACAGGATGCGTGCCTGGCATTGTTCTTGCCTTCATCTGAGTAGTCCGAAAACAGGATCAGCTATCCCAGGAGCATCCCTGGAGTTGAGAATTAAAACAGGATTAAAGAGCCAGGTATGTGTAATGATAGACCTTCTTCTCCTCAGGGGAAAAGATGCCAGCACAGCCCCTGTGACTTTGGGCACTGTCCTTCCCATGCAGACTCCACCCCTCCCAATAACAGTGCTGGATTTGGGTATAAAGTAACTTTTGCCCTTCCTGCAGAGCCCTGGATTGAACCCAGCATTATTAAAAAAGTAGGCTGGTCATGGCATCAGAAAATGGCCACCACTGGATGTAGGAGCAACCCCTTCTAGAGCCATGTGAGCTGTTACAGCCCATGTGACCCACAGAAAAGAGGGACCTGCTCTCCTTTAACACATCTTGAGCCTCTCAGGGAAGAGTCAGATCTTCAGACAGGGGAAGACACCACCTCTCCAGCATGGTGCAGCAATGTAGGGTCAATCCATGCCTGGCTTTGGGCAGTTGCAGCAGAGGGTGGATGGCAAACCCATGATTTTATGGAATGGTGGTGGTCCTTTCCCAACACAGACTCCCAAATGCCAGAGAGGGGTCTTGGACATTTGCACTGTGGTTGGGAGCATCGGGGTGCTGCTGGTTGGACATGGAGGGCTTGAGAGCAAGGGGCAGGTTTTACCACCTGCCAGGTGTAAAGTGCTTCAGCACGTCCGTGACATCCTGGACATGGGGTCTCTTTGGATCTAGTGTTCTTTTAGAGGCTGCAAGAGCCAGGGAAGCTCAGTGCTTTCTGGAGGTGGCCACTGCTGGGCCACAGACCACTTGTGTGCCCTGGAGCGCAGCACTGTGTCCACTCCAGGCTCTCCTGCAAAACAAACACCTTGACAACACCAAACCAAAACATTTTCTCCTTCAGCTTAACAGGCTGGAAAGAAAGATTAGGTTTCCCAGGTGGAAAATTTCCCACAGAAAATATCAGAGCCCTGTTTTCTTTCCAACTTACGAATGCTGTGACCCCCTCTCCCTAAGTTATTCTAGTAATGCCCAGGATCCTAATTAAGACTGAGCCCAGTGGCTCTTGGCATTGTGTAAACACATGAGAAGAATCCAGCCCTTCTCTAGAAAGCTTCTCATCCAGTTTGGTTTAGGCAAATGCATCCATTGAAACTCTCCTTTTCTTTTTTTTAACTTTTTCAGCAGCACCACAATGGAGTCTTTCATCTCTACGTCTTGTGTGTATTCCAGTGTCATGCCCTCTGCTTTCAAAAGCTTAGGTTTGCCTTTAATTGTGTCGAGAGCCTTTGTCTCTAAGCCTTTAGTAATGGATTTTTTTTCTCCTCTGCCAAAAGAAGAATTTTGTTTCTTTGCTGGCTTTTCTTCTAAAGCTGAAGTGACAGTTCCCCCTTCTCAGTGAGATTCACAAAGCTTATCTTTTAATTTTCAAGAGCCAAACAGAGAAGGAGGGGGAGGAATGAAACGTCATCGTGGCTTTTAAACACTGTCGCTAAGAGAGGGCTTAATGATCTAGAAATACATGTTTGCAGCATGGCTTTGGTTCAGTTACACTAACCTGCTGCTCCTGAGGGAGGCAGAGATGGAGCTGGGGGGCCAAAGCCAGTCCTTTCCTCTGGGCCTAGTCCATATAGAATCCTGGAATGGCTTGGGTTGGGCCTCAAAGCTCATCCCCTTCCACCTCCTGCCATGGGTAGGGACACCTCCCACTAGCCCAGGCTGCTCCAAGCCCCGTCCAACCTGGCCTTGGACACTTCCAGGGATGGGGCAGCCACAGCTTCTCTGGGTAACCTGTGCCAGGGCCTCACCTTCCTCACAGGGAAGAGTTTCTTCCCATATTGGTGGCAGGAAACTGAGGCAAGAGGCTGTTGGGCACTTTGCGTCCACAGAAGAAAACAGCATGTGGTCAGCTTGAGGAATGACTGGAGCCAATTGTCAAGGATTTGAAATGAATGATGGATCTCATGGTCCCCTTGCACTAAACTCAACAGTCATGTGCCTCTCGTGGCTTGCAGGGTTTGCCTTGGCACCGGGGAGGACAGTCCTGGGATTGCCATTGAGGCATTTCTGAAATTCCTGTCACAGCACAGGCCCTGCTTGTCTGTGGATGGGCACAATATGCTCCAGACCTCCATCCAGGGTGTCCCTGGGAGCTGGATTTGTGCTGGAAGGGGAACCAGTGCTGACACACCAGGTGGGGATGCTAACGAGCCACAGAACATCCCACCCTCTTGCCAAATCCTTAATAACTTTGTTTGGGTGGGTTCAACTCTTTCTTCCACTTCCCTTTCCAATGGAGGGGCTCCATGTCCAAGCCTGTGCTGTCCCCCTGGCTTGGTGGCACTGTATCCACTCAGCTTGGTGTCCACACTTCCCGGGGTCCCAAACCACATCCATGCCCTCAGGAACGGGAGATGGGAGCCAGGGTGGGCTGGATGGGAGCCTCATCTTCCCAGCCCACTGCCTTCTGCAGTACAATATCCTCTCTGTCCTGAAAAGGCTGAGGATTTTAATCCCAAAATAGATATTTCAACAAAACTCTTTTTTTTTTTTTTTTCCTGAAAGCATCTGAAAGATGCCGCTTTCGTTCCAGGCAGAGGGAGCTCATTCAGAAACCTCTGGAGCTGCCGTGAAATGGGATCATCCATCGCCCGCCGGGGAGCTCCAGAGCCCACGTGAGGGCTCCCCATCCCAGCCTGGCACGTGAGGGATGCAGCGCCACTCCGGAATGTCGGGAAGTCGGCTGAAATCCTCGTGCAGCAGCACAAGGCTGGGGTCACAGCTCTGTGATGATTCTGTGGTGGTTTCAGCGCTCAGGCTCGTGACTCCAAACCTTGACAGCAATGGCTGGCCAGTAACACACACTCCCACCGAAGCCTGTTTTTTTGGTCTCATCTTGCTGTTCGTGAGTACTGTTTGTTTAGTTATTTATTTAAATTTCCTCCTCCTCACACCCTGTCTCACTTGGTGGTTTGCTTCCGTCCTCCTGCACAAAGACCAGTACAAACCTCCAGACTCCAGAAGCCATTCCAGGCCCAGGCATTAAGGCTGCAAAGGGGGAATGGCTTCCCACTGCCAGGGAATAGGGTAAGGTGGTATATTGGGAAGGAATTCTTCCCTATGAGGGTGGAGAGGCCCTGGCACAGGTTGCCCAGAGAAGCTGTGGCTGCCCCATCCCTGGAAGTGTCCAAGGCCAGGTTGGAGCAACCTAGTCTAGTGGGAGGTGTTCCTGCCCATGGCAGAGGGTGGGACTGGATGGTCTTTGAGGTTCCTTCCAATTCAAACCATTCAATGATTCTGTGAAGATTGTTCCTCTCCACGATCGTCTTTTGGTGGACTTTTGTAAGCTGGAAACACCCCCTTTCCCCTTGCTGCCCTCCAGACCCCCTTCTGGGTCAAATGAGGAGGAGAATCTAACTCTCCTGGACAACTGGGCCAGGCAGGATGCTCACCCCCAAACCAGCCCCTTCCTCCTCCTGCCAAGCAGCTGACCAGGTACAGGGCTGTGTCTGAGCCAAGCAGCTTGTCCCCATGCAGGCTTCCAGCTTTGGAAACTATAAAAATCTCCCAGAGGATGAAAGGATCAGAAACCTACAGCTGCTGTAATTCATCAGCTCTTTGAGATGCTCTGCTTCTCAGTGGATTTCCTCCCCGAGCTCCCAGCAGAGGATGCAGACACCAGAGCAGCTGGACAGGCTGGTTCCCACGCAGGTAACTTCAGGGTAACTGGAGGCTCCCAATCCTTTTCCCCTTGTCCTTTCTTGGCTGAGATCCTGAAGGAAGACCAGTCAATCTCCAGGCATGTACCAGGTGTGGGGTTTGGAGGAGGGCATGGGCTCAAATGGGTGCATAAGAAATGAGGTGGCACTTTTGGGAGCTGAAATGCTCCCAGTTGCCCGAAATGCTGGTCTTGGCAGGAGGAGCATCCCCCATCCCTGGGAATGGTACAGCTGGTTCACAGGGAGGTGTGTGACCACTAGGAAATGCTTGTTGTTCTGGGAGTTGTCATAATGCCACAGGTTTAATGAAGCATTATCAGTCACTGGAAGGAAAAAACAAGTGGAAGGAAACTGGAAATTGGAGGAGGTGCTACTTTCTCTCTGTTTGTTTTGGTTGGGTTTTTTTTTTAAGAGAGGAAGAATTATTAGAAGCTCTCCAGGGAGATCTTAAAGCCCTTTCCAGGGCCTAAAGGGGCTCCAAGAGAGCTGGAGAGGGACTTGGGACAAGGCTATGGAGTGACAGACAAAGGGGAATGGCTTCCCACTGCCAGCAGGCAGAGTTAGATGGGATATTGGGAAGGAATTCCTCCATATGAGGCCCTGGCACAGGTTGCCCAGAGAAGCTGTGGCTGCCCCATCCCTGGAAGTGTCCAAGATCAGGTTGGACAGGGCTTGGAGTAACCTGGGCTAGTGGAAGGTGTCCCTGCCCATGGCAGGGGGGGGACTGGATGAGCTTTAAGGTCCCTTCTAACCAAACCATTCCAGGATTGTATGATTCTAATTCGATGTTTTAATAGTTTTTGACAGCTTGGTAGGAAAGCAACATCTTACTATTAGCTATAAGCTATTCAATCAAACTGAACTGTTTTTCCTGCTCTATCCCTTTTTTTCCACCTTCCCAGAGCAGCAGGCTGTTCTCACTCCAAGCCCTGGTGTTTTGTCATCGTGGGTGTGGCTGGTGTGGTCAAGGACACCCCAATTTCCTCAGCTGACTGAACCCTGCACAGAGCAGCATCTGACCATCATTCAGGGACAGAGTGTGATGTTCCCTGACCTCGGTGTTGAGGCAACAGACCTCAGATCCCCTGAATGCAAGGTGTGTAATCACCTTTCAGACAGGACGGGGAGATCTGGACCTGGGCTCTCCTGTTTGGTTGTCATCTTGTTTGGATGTCAGCCCGTGTCGCATCAGGACAGATCAGAAAGCATCAGTCTGGCTTAGGGGGGCAGACCCCCCCCCCCAGCATAATCCACCCCCCGGAATGCGAAGAGGAAATGTTATTTCTATGGTGACACAGCCTTGAGAGCACCTAATCTGGATTTATTGAGGTCGTAAGACTGACTTAGCACGGCGGTACCTAGACTGGAGGATAAATAGAAGTCTTCTATTTATAATGCTGCCAATCTGGCACCGCTCACAAGCACTAAAAATAAAACTGTGCAGAGCAAAGCGAATTAATGGGTGCTCTCCTTGCATTGTCTGTGAACCAGTCCCTGATCCTGCTGCCAGTGTTTGGCAGAAATCCTGCCCAGCACTGCTGAACCAGCACCTCTTTGGAGGGCTGAGCATCAGTAACCCCATGGTAGCGGTTCCTCCTTTCCCTCTGGGTGGTCCGACTGTGTGCCCGCTTGTGGCCCCTCTGCAGACCTGGGGCAGGAATGATGAGCCCTCACGGTCCAGCTGTGCATGCAAAGCCCAGGGAAAAGGGAGTTTGCTGAGCTGGGACTTCCTAGCACATGTTTCTATGTGGAGCTGGTCAATCCAAGCTCGGACCCTCCGAAGTGGAGAAGATGTGCCAGACCCCAGGGCAGAGCCTGGA